TAAAAAACGTGAAAACTCAAAATTATTTTTATAAAAATCAAATCCAACACTTTTTCTCATACATCCTAAGGCCTATAATAAGTGGACCTAAAGATATCCAATAAAATTTATGGGCTTATAGTGCCCTCCCCCCCTCCCCTTAACAAAATCATGGGCACCCCTATGACAAACACAATTGATTTATAAAACGGTTGTTGTAGATCAATATTGGTATAATTTATTTAAGATTAGGATTTTTTTTTTCTAGGTTTACTAAGATTGATATATTTAGTGCCTTATTTGAAATTAGTAAAAAACTAAATATAGATAGATAGATATTAATGATATGATGGCCGGAAAAATTCATACAAAAAATTTAACGGGCCAGGGGGACTCTTCATAAAACTTTAAAGGGCCGGGCCTGACTTTCGTACATGCAAATGTTAAAAAAGATATAAACGGGACGGGGCGAGCAAATATTTAAAAAAAGTATAATAGCCGGCCATGGGAAAAAAATTTCGGACGGGCCCAAAAATTTGTGTGAAAATTATTAACGGACCGGGCTTTGCAGACCTCTGCATTAGAAAGCTATTATCGTGATAACTATAATTTTCTTAGCTATATGAAGAGTTCTTTTTAAATTACAAATACCTCAAGACCCCCTTTCCCCCAGCCTTTCCATACTAAGACACTGAGGTTTAGCTGATTACCAAAATATAAAATAATACAATTATAAAATGGGTACAGACATTATGTTGATTACATGTATTTTTTCCCAAAAATTCACATAGGACTTAACAACAATGTTAAATAAAAAGCCCCATCTACCCCCCTCCGGATTATAATCATATAATTTATTCTTACCGCCCCCCCCCCAGTGTATTAGCTGGTCTTGCTTGCAGATATGAGTTTCAGACCTGGCATAAATAAGATAATATTTTTTGACCTGGCCATAGAGATAATTTACCTGGGTCATAATTTTAACTGAACCTCGTTTCAAAAATTTAATTATAAGGTCTAGGCCTCTCCAGCATCCGGGCCGGTCCTGCAAATCTCTCTATATGATTTTCTAATTGGGTCTAAAAAATAAAAATTTAAACGGGCCTGTAAGTCCAATTTAAAAAAAATGTGATTATATTATATTAGGGCAGATGGATGATCATTAAAATTTACATAGTAATAAAACAACATGTCTGGATATCTTGTAAATAGGGTATAAAAAATTGTAGTAGTTTTTTGCCCGGGGCAGGGGTGCTTATGGAATTTTCCCGAGGGTGGGCAATGGAATTGGTAAAATGTAGAGCCATTTTCTGTTAAAAAAAATAGTTCCCCATTTATTAAATTTTTATTTTTATATTTTGTGTAACTTTCTCTCATTTTGCGTGGTTTAGTAATATTTTTAGATTTTGCGCAGTTTATAATTTTGCTTGAATTTTTGCATATTTTGCCTGTTTTTCGGTTTAGTAATGCCAATTTAAATAAATAGTAACTTGTATCTAAAATAAAGTAAGAATAAATCAACAAAATTAAGAATTATTGTCATCTTAAAAATAAAAGACAATAGTTATAGGCGAAAATATGAAAAATTTAGATTTACATTAAATGTTAGTAAACCTAAACTCTCTATGTGAAAATATATAAATAATCTCCTAACAATTTATTTATTTTTATCTTATTCATATGCGATAGAGATGGATTTTCAACATACACAATTAAGCTAACTTAACACATTGTATACCAAAATAAACTTGTCTTTATACCTGCAGGCAGTCATAAGGCAATTAAGGGGGACATTTTAAAAATATATGGTAGCTTCTAGAAACTTAAAATATTAATTTTATTAAAATTAGAAGATAGGGTTTATTTCTTTTTATCTCTTTCTACATTTCAACCAAATATCAAGTATTCCCTTCTTCTTGGATATTTATTAGAAAATATCAGATAATTTACTAAGATTTTACATACCATAATACAAATCTCAATTTTCATCTTTAATATTTGATAGAGCTGTAGTTTAAATATCCAAATAGTTTATTATATTTTTTTGCAGAATCGTAATTTTAGTGATTCAATTATGCTATAACTAAAACTCTCAAAAATAATATAGAAAATCTAAAAATACATATATTATTATATTTAAATTTTCAGAAAGTGTCAAACTAGGGACCGTTAAAACTCTTGGTAGCTATGGCGATAATAAATTTGACGGTCCTTAAGAACCCCCAATTTCCATATAAAAAAATCATGAAAAACGAACTAGGTATTAGTCACTTTGCTAATAAGAGTTTAGAATATGTATTAAATAATATTATAGCTTTTTTAGTCACAAGATGTCTTTTTTTCAAACAAATATTGCGAACTTCGGAAAAGTTTGTTTATTAAATCCTACCATTATTAAAAAAAATTTAATATAATTTTGATTTAAAAACGTATAATGCTTAAACAATAGAATAAATGTAGTTTGAGATTCACATCTAGTAGTGTGTTAAATAGCCAATAAATAAATTTTTATTGTTAACAAAATTAAATCTACACGCAATTATAGAAGACGATTTGTGGCCATGCCTTTGTTTGTGATAGATAAAAGATTTAAAGCATTACAATTAAATTATAATATAAAAAAAGATTAATATCAAAACTATATCATTTCTCTTATGGGTTTTTCATCTAGATCATTAAGTGAAGAACATTCTTTTGACCAAAACCATGATGGCCATTTATTCGGTGTTGACTGGCATTGGCTTTTGGCCCCCCCCCCAAAGCCAAAAAATGCAGACGCCGGATATATTTCTCAAAAATATTATTGTTTATATTAATTTATATTTGTTATTTATTCGTATCTCATATTAAATATATATTTAATTACATTTATTATCACATTTATCTACTAAGTTATTTTATCAATTAATTTCGATTTCAAGTTTTCCGGCGTAATATTTACTTATTATTTTCATATTTTTAGTGGCGTAATATTTATCTACCATTTTCAAATTTCTATAGTCAAATAATAATTATTTCTGAAACTTCTTGTCCAACAGGGAAAAAGAAATTGCAACTTTGTCCAACGCGATAGAGTCTCTGCCATCAAGCAGTAACAGATTTTAAGGAGTTAGAAGAGCCAATTATTTGCTATTACTGAAATATCACAATGGCCTGAAAGAAATATTTCCTCAGAAGCAAGAAAATTATTGGATTCAATGCTTATTCCAAATTTTATTTCTCATTAGAATGTATTATTTTATTATACAACTATTTTAAGTATTACTTTTGAAAAACATGACATTAACTCGATTAAGAAGATGAGAATAGCGGAGAGCATTTTATCAGAACTCAAGGAAATTAGGGCTAATGTTGATAGAGAATTTCATATTTTATATTTTATTGTTGTCAAAAGCAGACTATAAGTGTTTAATATTTGTCTCCCTCGACTTGTAGCAAGGCAAGCTCATCGTTAAAACATTAATATAGGATCAGTAGAAGAGTATATCTTAAATACAGATACATTTATAACCCAAATAAATAAATTTTTAATTCATCCTTACTAATCTGCAAATATTACTTCCACAAAATCCTCCCCAACCCTTTTCAGATAATGCTAGAAAAAAAAATATTTGTTAGATTTTTATTATGAAGATGTTAAAGTATCTTATGATGCCTTACTAGCTGAATAACTATATTTATAAGATAGACTATGGTTGATATAGTCCCAAAAAATGCTATGGATGCTCTGCATTATTTCAAACACATTTTTGATTGAATTCCCAATGTATTAAAAGAGTTTATAAACTCTTCCCATTAATAAACTAATGAGAGAACATTCTCTTTTTTAAGAAGAATAACAGAGGCCTGCAGAAAGAAGTACCATTTCCAGGGCACGGCCTAGATTTTTTTTAAAGATTTTATACGGCCCAGCCCGGCTTTTTTTTAAAAAATGTTTAGGCCCGACTCGGCTTTTTTTAAAAAATTTTTAGGCCCGGCCCGGATTTTTAAAAAATAAATTATATTTATTTTTGATTTTTATAGCTAATAATAACGATTTCAAATATAGGCTGTTTTAAAAAATATAGCCAGGATTGGGTGTTTTTTTAAATTAATTCAGGCCCGGCTTGGGTATTTTTTTAAAAAAATTTCGGGCCCGGCCCGGGTGTATTTAAAAAAATTAAAATACTGTCCGGCCCGGGGGCCGGGCCTGCAGGTCTCTGAAAAACATACCAAGAAGTACAACATCTGAAAGTAGATTGAAAGGTTTGGATCTTTTGAATATTCATAGGTATTTGACGACAAGCAACGATGAGATAATTGAAAAATTAGCTCAATCACAACGAAGATTGAATTTTACATTGTAAATATATAACATGCAAAATGCAATTATTCCTAAGAAACATTTGGTGTAAAGGCTCAAAAAATTCCAAATTTCTTTTTTGGGTCATTTAAGTGATTCTTTACATATAATTTTTTTATAATTCACATTAATTTAAAATTGTGTATTAGAAATAGTTGTTAGTCCTAATAAATTTATGCTTGATATTTTTAAAAAACAATAATATTTCTTAAAAAATTTTATTATCCCCCCCCCCCCCCCCACCAGACCAAATTCCTGTGTACGCGCCTGTTGACTGGTCATACCATTTTATTACAATTTATTTAATCATGAAGTAATAGAATATATAATTCAATGACTAACCAATCTCAACTGTTTTTTTATCTAAACCTAATGCTATCATTTATAGCATTTTTAAAAGATGATGAAATAGTTTATTTTTATTATATCTTATTACAAAATGATTACATTTCAAAAAAAACGTAGGGTAAGAATTTTTTTTATTTATAATATTTAAAACCATTTAATTTGCCAATTTTTTTCAACCTTATCTATTCTATATTATATTTAATTTAGTTTATAAATCTTCGTAAAAAAAATTGACAAAAACTTTTTACCTAATTAGGAAAAATGAATGTTTATTTAGTTTTTTGGATCGATACGAAATAAATTATAAATAAATAAAATAATGATATTAACTTATTTATTTTAACCTTGCCCAAAACCTTGATATAAAACGCATCAAAATTTTTGTTTTCAATTCACAAAAAATTTTTATTTGAAATTATATAAAATTATTTGAGTTAATTCTAGTCAACTAAATCTAACACTATGCCTAACAAAAACGGTAATAATTTATATGATTTTGTAATGAATTTAATTTATTGTTATTATTCTAGAATCTGGTGGTGCAGCTGGTATGGGACAAGCCGGAAAAAACGCAGCTAAAGTAAATATTTTTATTCTAACCAAAAAATTCATATTTTAAATAGGCCGGAGGTGCAGGCGCTCAATCTGGAGCCCAAGCCGGGAAAAATCAAGCCAGCGCTGGAGCCGGAGCAGGAAGTGCCGGAAAACACGCCTCCAAAAACTAAATTAGTTCTTATTGTGGAGTTTCATCAACATATTAGAACACCTAAAATATACACATCGTTTTAATTAGATTAATTATATAATTGTAAAATTTTATATTTATCCTTAAAGGCGGAATATTCGATTCTTGCATATTGTTAAACCGTGTAGTAAATAGTAAATAAAATATTTAAAAAATAATGCTTGATTTAATTATTCATTTTTTATATTTTATGGCTAGCATATCTACAGCACGATTTGTTAATTTACTAATAAAATAGAAACAGGATAAGTAATAGGGAAGATAAATATAAATAACCTTCTAAATGGCAGTTTTAGAAATTTGTAATTATAATTTTTTAAGTAACAGACAAATTAAAATATTTACTATGATGCAAATTAAAAGTTTGCCAAAAATTTAATAATATTAAACATCAATTTAATTTATTAAATTTAGAATAAATGAATAAGCTAGCTAAGCTGAGAGCTTTATATGATCTTAATGTTTTTTTACGTCTTACATGCATTTCTGGTTGGTTAAAAAATCTTAACATCTATTATTTGTGTTGCTATGTAATTTAAGATTATTACTACAACGGCTGAGAGCATTTGATTGCATATTTTCAGCGTCTACATGACAGTATACACACTGGATGCAAACCCCCCTCAAAAATATATATCTACCCCCCTAAAAATACCAAAATGTTATCCATAGATAATTTAAAAATGTAATGGAAAATTTTCTAGATTATTATAGCCAATATAGTATATGCTCAAAAAAAAACGCAGGATTACGTACATAATTTATTTTCTCTAATTAGAATGTGATATTAATTTAAAACAATTTTTCGCACATTTTGCCAACTTTTTTATTTGGTACTGTTTTGAGGCAATTTAAGCCTAATTTAGATGATCACGTCACATATGATTGGATAAAAAAGATTTGAAATACGTGGTATTTTAATTTTTACAGAGGAAAATGTGTTATTTATTGCAAGGTAACAAAATATAATTGCAAACTTTATCGCTTTTACATAGAAAACTTTTTTATTTGGTACTGTTTTGAGGCAATTTAAGCCTAATTTAGATGATCACGTCACATATGATTGGATAAAAAAGATTTGAAATCGTGGTATTTTAATTTTAACAGAGGAAAATGTGTTATTTATTGCAAGGTATCAAAATATAATTGCAAACTTTGTCGCTTTTACATAGAAAAGCTTTTAAAATCTTATAAATAAATTTAATATTATAAATCAAAATGTAAATACTTTTAAATGAAGTAATAAACTTTAAATAATTATATTCTAATTTAATTTTTTTTATAAAAATTCATAAAATTTCTTAAAATCCTCGATAAATAATAATTTTCAGAAGAATATTTGTTTGGTTTTTATAATTGAATTTAAAAAAAATTATCAAAAACCATGTCTAGTTAATTTAGTTAAAAAAAAGAAAACAAGTATCCTCAGCTAACAAGGTACAAATTTAAGCTCTAAACCTTTGTCTTCGCTAGCCACAGTGCCCCTACACCTTTTGAGCGATGGAAGCAGAATAACACCCTGAAAAGTAACCCCCCACCCTTCGAAAGATTTTTGCATGTTTAAATAAATCTTTTTCCATTGATAAATTGGTTAACTTATTAAGAAATGGATCTTTCAATGTACAAGTCTTGTTTTAATTAATTTAATTTTACTCATGACCCTTTCGGCAGTACATAGTAGGAATGGTTAATAAATATTTATATAGAATTGTTAAATTAGGGAAAGTTGAAGAATTTTAAAGTAAACGATAAGGTAAAATAAACGAATATTTTTTCCAATCTGAATCATAAGTCTCATAATTATTATCATCATCAGAATATGAAGCTAAATAATGTATTAGTATAAATATATTTTAATTAAATAAATTTATAATTATCACAATCTGATATATCTTTAGATTCTTTAAACCTCTAGGTCACTGTAATAAATATATCCTCCGTTTTAGCCATCTTATTATAAGATAAGTAAGCAATTAAATATTTAATAAAAAAAAATTACTTTGCTATTCGTTCATTTTTGGGCATATTTTGAAATTGGAAAATAATTTTATGACAAAAAATCTAGAAATACAACCTAATTTGCTAAACATCGGCCAAAATTATTGAAATGTAATAATAAGACCCCCCCCCCCTTTCCATCCACTTATTATTTAATTTAATATGTATTAACGGAAGAGGACGAGTCCGATATCAAAAACCTAAAATAATTTGGTTATGTGGGTGTAATAAAATAATAAAAGAAATTAAATTTTTTTTTACAAGAATCAGAAAGTATTAACAAAGTATCTAACTGCACAAGTATTTTATGTAATTTAATTAATTATATGTCATTGTTGAGTCAAAAGCGCAGCTCTATGAATCTAATTTATGTCTACATAGACTCGCAGCAAGGCAAGCGTTCCATTATTAAAATGAGTTCAATCGAAGAATATAGTTTTTAAAAATCTCTCTCCCTTTTGGATACTTTTATAACTCTAATGAATAAAAGGCTCTTAATTTATCAGGCAGCACTTACAAATCTGTAAATGTTATTACTGCGGAATCCGTCCAAATCTATTTTAAATCTTGATAGAGAAAAAAATTAGATATTTAATTTTTATTATGAGGATGTTAATTAAAATTAATATATTGTATATTTTGGCAACTCTACCCATTAGTACTTCTACTAATGAAAGAATATTTTCTTCTTTAAGAAAAATAAATTCATACCGGAGGTACCGTTTAATGAATTAGCCCTTCTTAATGCATAGGGAGTTGACACCAATTAAATCATTGAAAAATTATCACAAAGATTGAATTTCACATATAAATTTATCATATACTTTTTAATTATATATTTTCGTGCAATTCCATTTCTTAATGTACCATATTTTTTTCTCATAAATACTTTATAAGTTTATATACATGCAAATGTTTCTTAAGAATATTTTTGTGCATCTACAATAATTTAAATTTATATAATTTTAAATGCTTAATTTATATTTTTTGCAAAGTTCTTTTTTGAGATTTATTCTAAACTATACACCGTTTATATACATTTAATATTTTATTTTTTATTTATATTTGAATTTGTGTATTAAAAATTGTCACAATATTTTATAGTCACTAGTCCTATTCCTAGAATATATTACTTAAAAAAATATTATTCACTAATTTTTCCGCTCAAACCTGTAAATATGTATACATCAACTAACCATAGATGCAGGGCTAAAGAATAACTTTTAGTTTTATATTGTGTGCAATCATTATATAATGGTTTCAATTAAAAATATCTCATATTGTAGAAATAAATTTTCAAATATCTATTAACCGTAAGAAAAATATTTCATTCGAATCCCGGACATTCGAATCATGCATATAAATGTTCCGAACAAAAGTGCCAAGGACATAAGGACGCTGAATGAATAAACTCACGGATAAAAAGCATAAAAATACCCTAATTTGTAAAAAAAATATTAAATTATGTATAATTTAATTTTTTATTAGTGATTTTCTTTAAAATATTCCTTTTTAGATTGAGAATGAACCAAATTATTGGCTCCTATTTTAATGGCCATTTAAGAGTGAAGTGACACCCAGTCCCCTTTCACCTCTAAATTTAATAATATTATATTCTTGCCAGGTTCGCATACTATATTTTAAAATTACAAATATAAACTTAAATGATATTCCGGGTCTTGTTTATTTAATCCATTAATTTGTATGTAACATGCATATTGGGCATAGAGGAGCCAGAAAAGCAAAGTAGGGCGCACGTCTATAATGTTGCGTACATTTACTTAAAAAAAAATAATTGGATAATATCCTCCGTCATAATAATCAATATATTAAACATCCACCCCACCCACCTTCCTCCTTTAAAATTAATAAAAATAATAATAAAATAAAAATTATTTATTTAACCTTGCCCAAAAACCTTGACATATAAAACAAAATTTTTAAAATCACAAAAATCTTTTGTTTTAATTTTTGAGTAAATTCTAGTCAACAAATCAAGAAATATGCCAAACAAAGACGGTAAAAAATTATGCACCTATATAAATTCATATACTATATAGAATCACACGCTCATGGAATGGGACAAGCCGGAAAGAATCCTAAGGTAATTATTTTATATAAAATAAAAATTATAATATTTATTAGGCCGGAGCAGCTGGTGCTCAATCAGGAGCCGCTCACGCTGGGGCTCCCCAAGCCGGAAAAAATCAAGCTAGCTGTAATATATTTAAATTACGATAATATTTATACTGCATACCTAGATTATGAATCTATTTTTCCTTAATATAAATACAGGTGGAGCCGGAAACGCCGGAAAGCAATGCAACTAAATTTCGATTTAATTTGGGAGTTCATCAACATAATCGACCTTTAAATATAACTTATTTGTAAAATTTTAGGAATATTCAATTCCAAACATTTGATATTATTTATGTTTAGATAATTTTTGTTTATTCATTAGTCATAAATTAATAGCAAATAAAATGTGATTTACACTAATTCGAATGTATTATATGAAATTTCATTTGATAAATTACCTCTTACATTTTAATTAAAGAATATTACAAGTCTTAAAAAAATAGAAAATAAAATAAATTGTTGCTGAAATGATTTTCGCATTACTTCTATGGCACTTTCTACGAATAAGTATTTATTAAATTCAAGTTTTTATAATGCGTTCCACATAAATTAAAGAATTTAAATAATAAATTAGTATAACATTAATAATTTAACTAAGCAAAAATTTGTGAATTCTTCACCCAACGCTTCATTTCGGCTTTGCTTTGGCGGCCGCGGATCCTGCTGGCTTCTGCACATCTTTCGCGTTTTTGTTTTTGTCATCCTAGCATTTTTAATAAAATAAATTATTAAAATTAAGCAAAAACTTTTCCTATGACAAAATAAAATTTCTTACTATTTTTGCTGCGTCTTTTTTCGGCTGAGCTCCAAGTTCCTTTTTAGCGCCAACTGTATACCAATAATTAAACGGATAAGTATAAAAATTTTTTTTACCGTCTTTAGACATGTTGCGTATATATATTCCTAATTTTCACTTTCGAGAAAATAAGTTGAATTTGCGAATTAAGTTTGAAAAATATAAAATTATTTAATGGACAGTAACATAATAAACTTTGCCTTTATATATTAGGAAAGTTTTTTTAAAAAGGTGTGATTTAAAATTTTATTAAATTGAGTTAAACGATTATGAAAAAAAAATATCATCATTCAAATGAGGCATTTATTTAATGTTCACCTTATGGCTAAAAATTTTAACATATGATAATATATAATAAGTTAAGTTTAAAAATTTATTTTAAATAAAGGTTGATATTAATTTCAATCAATTTGACCATAGACGATTGTTATTGTAATTATTCATTAACAAATGTAAGATTTTTTTACCGAAACCTTCAGTAGTGTTTACTCAAGATCTTAATTATTAAACCTCGTAAGAATAATTAAATTAAGTGAGCTCACAATAAAAACCAACTAAACAAATTTTATCCACCTTATCGATTATATTCATTTAAATTCATATAAACTCTCAGAATTTAAATAATTTGGATATTTAAATTTATGATGAAAAATAATTAGAAAATTATTTATATAAAATAACCTTGACATAAAAATGAAAGGCATATAATATCGATTTTTCTAGCATCCAATAAATTTATACATACTATATTTTAAAAATTTTAAACCAAAATAAAATATAGTACACCTTTTAATATAGTATTTCAAAAACTCATATTTTAGTGAAAAATTCCATTGATTATTTAAAATATAATTTTAAAATATGCTAGTTTATATATAATAATTCCTTTTTTTAGGTCTGTTACAAGAACATTAAAACTTTATGTTTTCTTTCTCGAATTGTGACACGCTTTTCCCTAAGTCATTGATAGGATTCATTATACGGCTATTTTTAAAAAATTCCAGCATGTGGACAAGCATGACTGCACGCTTTTCTCTAAGATTATGAGTTGAATAACAAGCATACGAACTGTCTTCAAGATTTTTAAATACCCCCCCCCCCCCGCCTAATTTTTATAACGTATTATGAAGTTCTAAAATTAAAAAATAGGTTCTTCATGTCAGCTTTGATCCGTATTTGTTTCTGTCGATTTTAATTCATAAAATTTGCTCCTATTAAACAATCAACACGCATAACGAGATCGAAAGAATTGTTTTATAGGAGTTGAATAAAATAAGTTAAAATAACGAAAATAGAGGTTATGGTCAAGTTGAATAACTACACCATAAAATTATAAACAAAAATGTCTTGAACAACTACGCCATTTATTCACTCAAGAATGTAGACGACTAGAAATGCTCCTCCCTTATTAACACCCACCCTAAAAAGTAATATAAATAATTATAAACAAAAAAATTTGCAGTTTTAATCATTTAATTGCTAAGGGTAAGTGTTAAAATAGACTCAAAAAGGGTATATGGGTTTTGTTCTCACAAGTTTACCACCCTTAGAATTAGGCTACTATAAGATGTCTATAATGTAAGAATCTAAAATAAAAAATATTTATATATTTGTTCTGCTTTCAACTTAAAGGTTGTTTTCTGAAGGATAATAGAATCTTTTCGACAAATGTTTGAAATGATTATTAAATCGCATTATATAATTTTGGATCATTAATCATTATATTCGTCTAAAAATCAGGGACCCGGAGTGAACCGTAACCAACCGTCAAACCATTATAAACCGTTATAAATATCTGAATCATAACCTAACCGAACCGATATAGTTATTTTTTGAAGGAGTAAAAAGAACCTTTATAAAAAGGGTTAAACCGGTTTTAACCGGTTCAGTTTTTATATTTTAGAAATAGAAATAATTTGAATATACAGAATTATATAAACTTGCTCTTAAAGTGCTGGCGGTTCCAGCAACACAAGTTTCTGCAGAAAGGGTCTTTTTGGGGTAAAATTTGTGTTATCGTCACAGCGAACAAAAAGGAATCCATTTATATTAGAAAATATATTACTTATATGTTCAAATAATATATTTAAAAATGAGTTATTTTGAATCTTATATATTTTTTTTATATATAATTCATAGATGATAATAAAAATAAATTAGAAGATGGTGTTGCTTCAATAAAAAAAAAATTTCTAACCGTAATGAACTTTAGATGAACCTAACTTTTATAAATTTTTTCTTAAGAACCTTAACCAAAACGTAACCATTATAATTTTTTACATACTGAACCGTAACCAAACTGAACCGTTATAAATAACGGTTCGGGTCCCTGCTAAAAATTGGGATACTTAAATGAGATGGGTAAGTAATTTGATGATATCATTATTATATTTCTCGATATAATCAATAATTTTAGTGTGAGTTGAAATAAGTATTGATATTAAATTAGATCTAACTTCCTTTTTTTCTCAATGTTTATGACGACAAGCGATTAATCCATGAAGTTTTAAAATATGATATTTATGATTTATTTAAATTTAAGAAAAATTAAACAATTTGAGAATTTTGTTTATATAAATAAACGTACAAATTATACGAGTCTAATTCTAAGTTTATATTTTATTATTATAATAAAATAATGTGTAATTGGAGTAATGTTTTTGTTGTGTTTTTTTGCTAGTTATAAGTTTGAATTTGATATAGCGTTTCTATTTATATTTTTTCCGATTCATCTCTATTTATGGCATTTTTCAGCGCCATCTTTCTCTATATAATATTTTAAATTTTGAGAATTAAGAAATCATCATATTATGAATATAAACTTTGTAGGCCTTTGCAAGTGTCTTTACACTCAGTGGTCTGAGAATGCTGCTTTTCCTACAGTTTAAATTTATCAAAAATATTATAAAAGTAAAAAAGTAATAAATTTCTTTAAATACTAACTTTATCATCTTCTTTCTTGTGAATTGGTTCCTTTTTACCTAATTTAAAAAATTCAAAAATAAAAAACATAATAAATTATAAGGAAGCATAAGACTTAAGAAATTGAGAATGCTAATGTTTGCCTTGGAGAGGCCCTAAGCTAAGGTCGGTTTTTAACTTGAAGCATAGATCTTAATTAAACAAGAATCACTCTATTCTGATTTATTGCAAGTCTTTCAGCCAAAGTTTTAAAAAATAGATATTAAATATCATTACTGCAAGAAATAATTTTATCAAAGACTTATACTGGCAAATAAAAAAGGAGCAGGCGCGTACGCAGCGAGCCAAAAAATGCAGATGCCGGATTATATTTTTCAAAAATTTTATTGTTAATATTAATTTATATTTGTTAATATTTATTCTTATCTCATATATATATATATATATATTTTATTTATCACATTCATCTACTAAGTTATTTTATCAATCAATTTCGATTTCAAGTTTTCCTTGGCGTAATTTACCTATTATTTTCAAATTTTAGTGGCGTAATATTTATCTAAATTTCTAATAAAATAATAATTATCTCTGAAACTCCTTGTCCAACAGGGAGAAAAAAATTGCAAGCTTGTCCAACGAGATCGAGTCTCCGCCACAGTAACAGCTATTTTGGAGTTAGAAGAGCTGATTATTAATGCTATTACTGAAATATCACATGGCTTGAAAGAAATATTTCCTCAGAAGCAAGAAAATTATTGGATTCAATAAATTTTTTTTCTCATTAGAATGTATTATTTAATTATACAACTATTTTATGTAATACTTTTAAAAACATAACATTGACTTGATTAAGAAGATGAGAATAGCGGAGAGCATTTTATTAGAACTCAAGGAAATAGAGCTAGTGTTGTTGAAGAATTTCATATTTTATATGTTATTGTTGAGTCAAAAGCAGAGCTATACGTGTTAAATATTTGTCCCCCTCGACTTGCAGCAAGCAAGCTCATCATCAAAACATTAATATAGGATAGTAGAAGAGTATTATAAAACAAATGTCCCCTCTCCCAACCTTTTTCATATGGTGATAGAAAAAAAATATAAATATTTGTTATATTTTTATCATGAAGATGTTAAAATATCTTATGATGCCTTATTAGCTGAATAACTATGATTAAAAGATTAACTATGGTTGATACAGTCCCAAAAAATGCTATGGATGCTTTTTATTTCAAACACATTTTAGATTATACTCCCAATTATTAAAATGATATATATATTAGCAGCTCTTTAGTAAACTAATGAGAGAACATTCACTTTTTTAAGAAGAATAACAGAGCCTTGCAGAGGTACCATTTGCAGGACCAGGCCCAGATTTTATTTTAAAATTTTTTCCAGCCCGGGTTTTTTTTAAAAAAATTTTCAGGCCCGGCCCGGCTGGCTTAGCCCGAATTTTTTAAAATAAATTATATTTATTTTTGATATTTATAGCTAATAATGGCGATTTCAAATATTTGGTTTTAAAATATACAACTCGGCTCGGATATTTTTTCTTAAAAAATTTTCAGGCCCAGCCCGGGTGTTTTTAAAAAAAAAATTACGAGCCCGGCCCGGGTATATTTAAAAAAATTAAAATACGGTCCGGCTCAGGGTCCGGGCCTGCAAGTCTGTGAAAAACATACCTATGAAATACAACATCTGAAAGTAGATTGAATGATTTGGATCTTTTGAATATTCATAGACATTTAACGCCAAGCAAGGATTGATAATTGAAAAATTAGCTCAAAACATACAAAATACAATTATTCCTAAGAAACTTTTTGTGTATTAATTTATATTTACAACATTTAAATTTTTTATACTTTATATATTTTAAAAGCTCAAAAAATTCAAATTTCAATTTTGGGTCATTTAGGTGATTCATATCGTGGGTTATATTCACTTTATATTTTATGATTCACATTTAAATGCCGGTTTATATATATAATTTTTTTAATTCACAAGTTTAAAATTGTGTATTAGAAAAGTTATTAATCCTAATAAATTTATGCTTAGTATTTTTAATTAAAAATATTATTTCTTAAAAAAATTTATTATCCCCCCCCCCTCCCAGACCAAATTCCTGCGTACGCGCCTGAAAAGGAGTATATATATATAATATATATAATTTTAAAAATTTTAAACCTTCTTTACCAGACATTTTTAAAGAATTTTATAAAATTTTTATTTGTTGTGTATAAATAAAATTATGATTATGAAACGTTAAACTTTATAAATCTGATTTAAATACGAAAAAAATGGTCATTTTCAAGGTTCAATTTTTAAAAAAAACTAATTGTTATAATTGCATAGAATTTACAATAAAAGGCCTCAATATTTCATTTTGTTATTGTTAAATAAATTTTATCATCAAGTTCTTCATAACAGCCATATTCAAGGTCAATTTATTATATATTATAAATATAAATTATAAAATTATAAATTACCAAACAGAGTAAATAAAAAATAACGATAAAATAAAAAAAATTTAAAATAGTTATTATGAAGTTATACCTCCATTTTTATAGGTTTTACAGTTTTTAAAATAAAGTTCCTATCCTTGAGAAAAGAGATAACGTTAGATATAAAATAAAAACATAATTCCCAATAAGGAAGTAAATTTCCCGGGAAACTATAATTGAGGAAATTTGACCAATATTTTAAAATTTATTCACACTCATGTCGTGACCCATCGTATCACGCGTAATTTCAAGGCCCGCGCCCACCTTTAATCAAAACTAGACTGTCCAAATATTTGCTCGGGTTAGGTAATTTTTAGGATATTTTTATCTATAAGTAGTTGTTTTCCCTTAAATGTAAAAGAATGTTGAATTTACATTACATATTTAATACTAATTTGGGCTTTCGCTACTAAAATTTAAATTCTATTTTATTTGCTAGATTTTTTAAAAACAAATTAAGTCCATGTATGTAGACCCAATTTTATCGATAATTGGATATTTATTTCTCACAAGTGTCCAGGCATTCTTCATTCTTGCATATTTATTATAATGTAAATTTATGTGTTTCCTTCTTTCTACAATTATAGATAAATATATATATACTCCCGTATGCATATTGGTCATTGTTTTAATTAATTTATAGAAAATGGGACTTGGGTTTGCTATAATATAATCTATAATCATTCCACTCTTATAGTTCACCCATCATTAATAAGGATCAAATTTTATCTTTCGGTTACTATATTTTTAATCATTTCATATTGATTGTTTAACAAATTTTTACTGAATAGCATTTTAATGCTGTTTTTAAAGATTGAAATAATTTTTTTCATTATCTATATATTTAAATTTTCAGAAATTTATATTAATATTAGTTGAATTAAAATTAGGAAAGTAAGTTGGCCTACCTTATATTATATCTATATCACCTTTTCCTTTTCCTTATCTAAAATAACTCTAATTTTAATAAAATAACTCTAATTTTATTTGATTTAATAAATTAATTCTAACAATCTATTTATTAATACTAAAATAACTCTATATTTAATATTTCTTTATATATATTTATTTAATCTCTCCGATTTTATAATATATTTTTGCTATATATTCTTAATAGATTCTTGCTATATATTCTATCATAATTTTATTAATTTCAACAATCTTGTCATAATTTTAATAATATTTTTCATAACTTTCTTTATTCTTAATCATATATTTTTCATTTCACGATTTTATAATAATAATCATAATTATATCTCATAATCATATTCAATTTATTCGCGATTTAATATCAATTAATTTTACATCTCCATTTTATAAAAATCACCAACTGAATCAAAAATTAATCTCGTATAATATATTTTTCAAAAGTAAAAAAGTAAACAAAAAAAAATATTCTCGATAAAATAACTAATAAATAAAATATATTATTTTTGATTGATATTTTATAATATATATGTACAAATATATATCATAATAATACAAAACTACAACACGCCCACCCTTCAAAAACCCAGATACCATATAATTATCGTTCTTTAAGGACATTGATTATTTCCTCGTCATTTATCGAATCTTATCTTTGAACATCATCGACTTTTTCTATTGAATTGTCTTCTTTCGACATGCGGATTATTATAATTAATATATTTCGTTCATTTTTTAATACATATAAATTTGTATTCAACAATCCTTTACAATTATTTTCTTTTTCTTAATGTTCAATTATAAAACAAATAATTGACCACAAACAAAATAATATAATACGAATAGGGATAAAAAAATAATTTATAATTATCACTATTAAAACTACATATATATATTTTCGTTATGTCCATTATGAAAATAATATGAACCGCAAACAAAATATTAAGACATGTCATATAGCAAAAATACAAAACTACAATATATATATAATGCCACTACAATCATATTTTTTATGTTACAAAAAAAAATATGAAGATGTGCCGATAAATAAAAAAATTTTAATTTATAATTATAACTATTAAAACTATAAACAATATCATCAAATCACTTCTTTATTAATTTTTTACATAATTCTTCACTAAGTCCAAGTTTAAAATCTTTTATTGTCCACCGACTTTTATTTAAGAGTTTTTTCTTTATCACATAATATTAAAAATTTTTAATTGTTTCACAACAATCTCTTTAAATTTTAAAAAAAATACATTTTTTTTTTTAAAAATTAATCTACACAAAAGTTTGTATTTCATTGAACTTTCTAATACCATACCACATGGTATTATTCACATGAATTTATTAAAGTCAATGTTTTTTTTTTATTTTATTGATAACAATTTAATTCTTAAATTAAAATATTCTTCTCTACTGCTTAAGATAATTAATACTTTTCTTCTTTTATTACAATATATTTTTACTTTTAGTAATTATGCTTTACTCAATTTTATATTGACACGAAAACACGAACACTGATTACTTTCATTTTCAATCATTAAAATTTAATTCACTATCCATAAATCCAAAATTATAGGAATATCATGGAAAATAACATCCCACTGAGTTCTACCCAAAACTTTGATTTCAGATCCATCAAATTGTTTTATACACATATTTTGTCTCTCAACAATACCATTCGGCCAATATTTATAAAAATTTTCACTAGACATTATTGAAATACTTGCCCCAGTATCAAATAACATTTCAACCATTTGTCCACCAAATTTTAAATTAATATGAGGACATGAACTCTGTTCTTTTGCTCCCTCAGTTATTAAATTTTTAGGCATTTTAATGAGTTGAATGACATTTATTTTAATCTCATTGTCAATATAATTAATATTCATACCTAAATTCATCACAGAATTTAAAAGTCTCTGAATTTCATTTTTGTTTTTATTTAAAATTTCCCCTGGATATATATCACTCATTTGATTGCAATAATCCTTTTTATTCAGATTATTGTTTAATTTAAAATTTTTTATTTCACCAAAATGACAATAAAAATTTCCAACATTACAACTCTTTTTATTCAAGTTAAATTTCAATGTATAATCCTCATTCCCATGATGATTATCCATTTTAATATATATATCCACAAAATTTTTAATAAAATTATATATATCACAAAATTTAATATTTTCAAAAATTAATTTATCTATTTTTATATGATTCTCTTTCAAATCATATAGTCACTGTAATCCACTCACACTTTGAATACAATTGATAGCAATGTGTCCCATTTCTTCACATCGGAAACACATTCTATCATGATCTGTATTATAATTTTCAATTTTATCCACATTTTTAATAATAGGATTTTGTATATTTCTAACCACCGGTTGTAACACTACCGATGTTCTTTGCGGAAATCCACTTTTAAAATTGGCTTCTTTCACCATGCAATTTCTTTTTATATGTCCTACAAAACCACATCTATGACACACTATGTCATTTTTTTCACTTGGTTTTGCATTACCATTCTCATTTATTTTTCGGTCTCTTGAATAACAATTTTTACCGATATGTCCTCTTCTTCCACAGAGTTCACAACTTTCAATTATATTATTATTTTTAATTTTTAAGTTGGACACATCTTTGGACAAATTTTTTATATTTTCTTTCATTTCTCTAATTTCACTTAAAATTATAGATTCCTCAGTACTTTGTCTCAAAGTATTATCTTTATTATAATTTTTTACAATTTCAACAGGTTTCTCAATTAAAACCTCTGAAATTTTTTTTTTAAATTCAATCACTATTGAATTTAATTTTTTATTGATATCCTCTGATATATTATTATTCTGAGGCAAATTAAATACTTCACCAGTATCTAATATTTCTTCGGATTTTTCCTCCGGCATAATATTCTTTTTATCATTTATTTTTTTTAATTCTAACAAAATTAAATGTAAGCTATTTTGGATATCCTCAGAAACATCTGGAGATTTCACCAAAATTTCAGAAATTAAATTTTCAGCATTAGTATTTTTTATATCATTTTCTTTATTTTTAATAGATCTTCTTTTTATTTTCTTAATTGCATGTTTCATTGTAATCAAAGTTACATAAAACACAAAAAAAATTACTGCAGTAATGATATTATTAGTTACATCCACTTTATTAAACTTTGAATTAAATATTTTATTAAAATGATCCTTATAATTCTGCATTTTATCAAAATCAGGCTTACGATGAACAGTAACAAAAGAAAAAGCCATAATTTCATTAATTATCCAAAATTTAAATTTTTATCTATATTTTTCTAATTTTAATCCAAAAATCCTACTATCGCGTTGTGTAATTTAAAAATCAAATAAAAAAAATTTCTTACTTTTAAATATCCAGAATCCATTATAATTTTGAGGAACCCGGTCCTAGAAAATATTTTTGTTGATTAATAACGTCTGAAATTTATTTTTATAAAACACTCTTGTTTTATTTTTTTCTCTAAATATTTCAATTTTTATATTTTTCTCAAACTTATTTTTTCCCTAATAAGTGTTAACGTATCTTGGTCAGTCGGCACCAATAAAATAACTCTAATTTTAATAAAATAACTCTAATTTTATTTAATTTAATAAATTAATTCTAACAATCTATTTATTAATACTAAAATAACTCTATATTTAATATTTCTTTATATATATTTATTTAATCTCTCCGATTTTATAATATATTTTTGCTATATATTCTTAATAGATTCTTGCTATATATTCTATCATAATTTTATTAATTTCAACATGTCATAATTTTAATAATATTTTTCATAACTTTCTTTATTCTTAATCATATATTTTTCATTTCACGATTTTATAATAATAA